TTATCCACAATGGTGCCAGAAAAAAACAATATCTGTATAATAAGATGCTTACATTTATACGTATAATGTTAAAAAACCGTACTTACTGATTTGAATATGAAAATATGGATAATGGTTTTAAGCTTTTATTCATTCATTCATTCAATAAGAAAGATACAATGTACACAGCAACGATAAGTTTTAAAACTTAAACGATTAATATCTTAAAAGTACATTAATATTAATATGTCTAAATTTATGGTTATGATTTATAAAAATTATTTTAATAAATAACTTTTTAATTACACAACATTTTATCAAAATATAATTGCTATTCACTGTAATAAGAAGTGTGTTTTGTCAATTTTTTTCCAGCTACATGTAAAGGCTATGTAACACTTCTTTACTTTGTAGTAACATCTATTATATGATAAATATTGTACATGTCTAAAGTCTTATACATCTATGGCAAAACATAATTACAATGTACATATGAAAGCAAACAATTACTGGAAAAGAATGGAAACCTGATAAAATTTTTAAAAAAAGTTGAATGCTTTAAAAGGAATTTAAAAAGAAACAAAAAGAATTTGACATAAAACTAATAAATCAGATAATAGTACACACTTTTGATACTTTAAACACATACATGTAGACTTAAACGTCATGAAAACAATATGTGAGTAATGATTGTATTGTTAAACACATTCCTTACGGCTGAAATCAAACATTTATAAATAATAAGTGATTTTGACGTGGCCATCTTATGGTCAAAACAAGGACGTATATTATATGTAGTTATAAATCATTGGTTAGAGTACATATTAATTTTGAAAGAAGGACATGTAAAAAAACTAGCAAACTATAACTAATATAAGGTAAGGATTTATTTAGACAGTCTTCAAGTAAAAAACAGCTGATTCTCATTATAAATTATACGATACTTCAAATTTAAAAAAAAAAGTTGAATGTGTCCTACATGTATATATTTGAATGGCTACGTTTTACTATAAAACACCTGTACATAGACTTTAAAAGAACATTTTTTATTTCATCCGCATCTCATAAATGTACTGCTGTCGAATTATTGCCCTCCCATACTTATAATCGCGACAGCTTTTCCGTATGCATTGACTTATTGCTTTATACTTGCGTTCGAAATTCGACAACGGCATAGTGGAAATGCGAGGGAAAAAATCGTGATGAAAAAAGGTTAACAAACGTGGAAGGAAGATGGTACTAATCAATTCTGAAATAAAAAAAGTTAAAACACCAAATCATTTAACAACTGCTATGACATAGTTAATTATAAATTCGGAACGCATGGAAACCATAATAACAAGTATATATGTCTCTATTATCTCACTTATTTTTCACGAGCTCTCTGATTTTGTATTTATTGTTTATCAATAGGCAACGATCGGTAAACTTGGGCACTAAAACCCGAAAGTTATTCAGCAACCAAAGTTTTATATCAACAGTCGCAGAATGAAATATTTTTGTCGATTAATCTTTATGAATTCGAAATAAATGTTAAAAAATATACAAGAGGACTATACATGCATGCATTAGTTCAATGATTCCTGCAACATTATAATTACTCAGTCTAGAAATTCGTTTCGAATGGCTTTAGTCTATTGTCTTCCAACTAATACACACAGTGATATTACTTTTTGCGCTGATGAAGCGTAAAGCAACTATCAACCAATCGATCAATTTTATTCTCAAGTAAATTAATAATTATGCTGAAAATAAAGTCTGCTCATTTGTAAACTACTTCCTAGACGATGAAGTAAAATTAATATTTCCCCACATTTTCGCATCTTCAGTCCGTGGCATTTCTTTACTTTCTAGATAACGACAGTCATTAAGTGTAATTTTGTGGATGGAGAGAGTTCTGTCATGTCTGTATTATTTATGTTTTTTTTTTGTACATTTTATCTCTATTCCCTAATTTATTTTAACCATTATTTTCTTCTATTTTGTATAGGGATAGTGTCACGCTCGGCAATGTAAAGAACCCTGCAACAATTCTCTGAGGGCCCATGTCCAGTAGGTGAACGGCTTAAAATTTAATTAATTAAAATTCCCAGTTGCATTTATTTATAAAACCCAGATTACAGAACCTACCTATTTGATTAAATATTTTATTTAATACAGGTTGTTGTAATTGTTTTGGTCCTGAATATGTATGCATAATATTTTGCAGCTGGACCTTTAGCAGTGATGCATTAGGGAAAATTCATATATTCAACGAGTTCAGTTAAAATATAACTGCAAATGGATCCATCTAACATAAATCATATTTTAAGAGTATATACATGTATGAAAATAACTTTTCAAATCAAAAGTATTCTTTCAACTGGTGATTTACATCTTTGCTTTGTGAATACGAAGCTGCTTAGATTAAAGTCAGGTGTTGAGGCCGATGTGGAAGACTAGAAAATCTTTAGCCTTCAAATTCAAATTTGACAAATGCATAATTTCCAGTCAAAACCAATTAATATAGGAATACATGTACTAGCCGTAAAGACTAATTAAAGAAACCAGAAAGGACCCCAAGTCAGGAGCCTGTACTTCAGTGGGTGTCGTTCTACATTAGCAAATGCCTGTACCAAGTCAGGAATATGACAGTTGTTATCCATTCGTTTGATGTGTTTGAGCTTTTGATTTTGATTAGGGACTTTCCTTTTTGAATCTTCCTCGGAGTTCAGTATTTTTGTGATTTTACCTTTTGTTGCTATGTTTCATATTTGTTTTTCGTTTATTATGCATAAATCAGGCATTTAGTTTTCTCGTTTGACTTGTTTTACATTTGTCCGTTGCCATGTATACATTACTATGCGGTATGGGTTTTGCTCATCGTTGAAGGCCGTACGGTGACCAAATAGTTGTTAACTTTAACGTCATTTAGTCTCTAGTGGAGTGTTGTCTCATTAGCAACCATACCACATCTTCTTATCTTTATATTGATATAGTTTTTAAAACAATTTCATTACTGAAACAGTAGTATTGGTATTTAATCATATAAAAAACTTAATGCAGGTGAAAAAAATTATCATGATGACTTCTTTGCATAGAGATACAGTATTCGACAATCGAAAAATCCAATGCCAGTTCATATAAGCACCTGTCTATTCAATAGACTCAATAAACTCAATAGAAATAACAAAGCCTCGAATGTATACGTAACGATATTTCGATTGATCACGATTGAACATCAGCTGTCTTCTAATTAAAACCAACTCAATAAAATTTCCAAAGCCTCGATCGATAGTTTCGATCACGACTGAACATCAACGGTCTTTTCTATTAACTCAGTAAGATTTTATTAACCTCGATCGATACAATAGTTTCGATTGATCACGATCAAGCATCAACAGTCAACTCAATCACCTCAATAAAAAAATGCACCCTCGAACGTACACATATATTCGATTGATAACGTTTGAACAGCTACACTCCACTCATTAAAAATTGGCAAAGTATCGATCGTAACGATAGATTTGATTGATCACGATTGATCATCAACTCTCAACTCAATTGACTCTAGCCTAAAAAAAAATTGCAAAACCTCGATCACTACGATAAATTGAAATTTCGATTGATCACGATTGAAGAGCAACAATCAACTCATGAAAAATTGCTAAGCCTCGAGCATAACGATGGATTTAACTGATCACGTTTGAAAACCAACTGTCAACTCAATCAACTAAAAATCAAATTTGCAAGGCTTCGATTTATAAACGATATATTCGATTGCTCACACTTGAACAACAGCTCAAAACTCAATCGCAACAAAAATCAGTAAAACCAGTTAATTCAATAAATCACCGCTGAATCAATCGTAACGATCAATATGATCGTGTGTTTTAACACGAAAAAAGCCACTCAATTGAATTGAAAACGTCTTAATCTATTGTAATGATTGGAAACGATAAATACAATTGTGAGTCTTTGAATGCACAGAGAGAGAGTTGATTGAATACTATAGATACAAGTATGCGTCGAGAAAGTTAGAGAGCCAGTTGATCGATTTTTTCAACTTTAATTCGATTGTAACGATATTATACAATCTAGCATCTTGAAACCAAGAGAGTTAGTTGATTGAACTAATCATGATTCGATACAATCGATATGATTGTGAGTCTTAAACGCATTGAGACTCATTTAAGGGAATTGATCAAAATTTTATTTTTTCGTAAGGATTTAATACGATATATACGACCGTGTGTCTAGAAAAGTAGAGAGCCAGTTGATTTGGTCAACTCTTATCCGATCGTTACGATCAATACAAGCTTCAGTTTTGAAAACAAAAGAGCTTATCGATTTGATTGATATCGCTCGTTACGATTAAAAACGGATTGATACGATTCTGATCCTTATAAACCAGTAGAGTCAGTTGATTGAATTGATCAACTCTTATTCAATCATTACGATTGTATACGATCGTGCGTCTTAAAAGTAAGAGGGCCAGTTGATTGGACTGATCAACTCATAATCGATCGAAATCATCATGATCATTGAGTACGATCGAAACCATCGTGAGCTTTTAAAAGATGAGAAAATGTTGATTGAATTGATTAACTCTAATTTTCTATGAATATAAAATCGATTTCGTAGATAAACAGGATATATGATAGTAAAAACCTTACAACAATTAATTGATCCTACAATGGTGTTCAGTTTAATAGCATTGACTAGACAATAGACAATATTTCCTTTATGATGTGTATTCAATCGATTGTCGAATACTGTACCTGTGTTCGGTTTTACTTTTTTTCCTTTGCTTTCGAGTTTTGCTAACTGTCTGTTTTACGTTTTATTAAAATCATATTTACAAGTGTCATCCGTGTTTAAGGCAATGAAGCTGCAACTTTTACAACATGTTTAATTACAAGTTCTTTAAATATTTCAGTTTACCTCGTATGCTTTTCATTAAAAATCGACAGAAACCGAAAAGAGCATTCATTGATAAAAATACTTCAAAGAATCAACTGAGTAAAGACGAAAATACCCATATGAATAGTACATATAATACGTATAAAAAGGGCAGAGTTAAAGGTTCCTTTGAGGTAGAAGACGAGAACAGATCAGGTTTGGTACCATCTAAACAAGAAGAAAATAAAGGTGGAAACGTAGAATTTGAACATGAAAACAGTACAGAAGTGTTTGAGGAATCCGCAAACGATGAAGATAAAAATTCATATCATGAGGAAGAAAGTTCACATGATGGAGAAGAAAGCAACAATCAGGATTATGAAAACCAAATGGGTCATTTGAAATGCAAATTATGCGGGAAACGATTTCAGAGCAAAGAAAAAGTAAAAATACACATGTCATCACATACAGGAAATAAACAACATAGCTGTCAACTTTGTGATCAAAAGTATACGACACAGCATCATCTTTATTCACATATTGTATCAGTACATCCGGCGGAAGCTGAAGATTTGGCACGATATTCGTGTGATGTGTGTGGAAAGAAATTTTATAGTAAATCCAAATTATTAATTCATTCCAAATCCCACCTCGAACTTCTGCCATATCAATGCAAAATCTGTCCTAAACGATTTTTGGTACGTAGTACACTAAAGACACATACCAAGCAACATACTGGTGAAGGATTATTTACATGTGAAATTTGTGAAAGAGCATACACAACAAATTGCGCACTTAAACGTCATATGAATAATCACACACGCGAGATTGAGTATAAGTGTGAGACTTGTAACAAAGTATTTTATGCGACTGGAGGTCTAATAAAGCACAGATTAACACATTCTGATGATCGACCATGGAAGTGTTCGTTCTGTGGTAAAAGATTCAAGCAGAATAGTGCAATGCATCACCATATGGATTCCCATAAACCGGAAGAGGAAAGAAAACCAAAAAGAATCACAACGAAGGATTTTAAATGTGACATATGTAATAAAACATATAGTTGTCTTTCTCATTTGCTGAAGCACATGCAAATTCATAACGGAGAATATTACACGTGTGATGTTTGTGGAAAAGATTTCATTAAACAGTCGACCTTGGATATTCACATGAGAGGTCACACGGGTGAAATGACACACAAGTGTGAAGTTTGTGGACGTGGATTTGGTTGCCATGACTATCTTAAACGTCATATGAGAATACATACCGGTGAGAAACCCTATAGCTGTGACGTATGCGGGGCTCGTTTTACTCAATCAGCTGCCCGAAACAGACACAAAAGAATACACACGGGTGAAAAACCATTCAAATGCGACAAATGCGACAGTTGTTATAGTGACAAGTATTCCATGCAAAAACACGCTCTTCTAATTCACTCAGAAAATCCTGAACTGAAATATAAATGTGACATTTGTACAAAAACATTTACTTCTAGATATGGATTAAACTGTCACTTAAAATCAATACACGATGGAACGAAAGATCAAAAATGTGAAATATGTGGCAAAGCTTATACCCTGAAATCTCTTCTCCAGAAACACATGAAGACTCACAACAAATAATGTAAATCAAAAAGATGATTGTTTTATGATGTTATTATAAATGGACATACTAGTCTAATTTGTTAATGTATATCATTTGTAAATATTTCTATATTTCTTACATTTTCGAGAATGATCTTTGTAACGTAAAATGCTGTGCAAATAAGACATGGATCATTTAATTTCGGAGCAAAAATGTCCTCGTTATGATTAGAGCATTTCGTGGATAGAAGTACAAAAAAGCACATGTAAATTTTAAAGCTTGGCTAGACGTAGACTGGTACCTGGTCATTATTTGACAAGTTGGACAATACTTTATTATTTGTATATATATCGAAGGCATACTGAATATTTTACGGAGGGAATCAACCTAGGCTAGACGTCAATTAATCTTCATTTAGGTTTCGAACGATACCGATACATGTACAGGAAATAGTATCAGCAAACTGCAGACTATAATAGATAAGAATTATAACTTTACATACTATACAGTAGGATGCTGATATATATATAATTTTGTCCTGCTATTTTCTTATTTGAAATGCAAATCTATATTAGTAAATACTTTGTTATATCTAATAAAATCAAAACAAAATTTGTTTCCACTATATTAGATTTTGTTTTAAATACACAAAAAAGAAGAGCACTGCTGATTTTGAAACATTATTTCTAAATTGTTTTGTTTTTAAGAACATTTTGCTTGTCAATGAGAACGATTTCTTTGAACATAACTGAAGAACAATTTCAATAACTGTGACGATGATACCGATTTTAGAAAGAAAGAAAGAATTTGATAAAAATCCTACATGTAGCCGACTCATGTGTCACAGTGGCTCCTTTTTGGCTCGTGTTCATTGTTATTGGAGGGATTCGTGTTGCTCAATCTTTGGTTTTCTGTGTAGTATTTATAAACTGTAACCATTTTTAAATATGCATAGTATTCTGTTATGGTTTTGAAAAATAACATCAGAAACCACCATACCACCACTACCACATCTTTCTTTTCTAAAATGCCACAAACCTTCAGAAATTGCTTGTTTCAATGATTGATTGTTGTGTTTAACGCCACAAACAACACTCTTGGCTATAACATGGCGGCCAGTTTTTATTAGTGAAGGCAACTGAAGTGCCTGGAGAGAACCGCCGAACATCGAAAGGGATACTGTCAATTAAGCTTAAGATAACTGGTGTTTTTTTTAAGTGTGAACATTGCTCATGCAGATATAGCCCAGGTGGTCAGTATCCGACTCGTTTGAATATACTAGGAGACTATATAAGACAAGATAATGTAAAGATAAAATTAAGTTGTCCATTCATATCGTATCCATCTTCAATTTCGTTCGTTTGTTGAATTCAAAATATTAAAATTTTCAAAAAGAACTTTTTTTTCAATTTCTTTAATTATGACCCAATATATTTAAAATGCCACAAGCCTAGTAGAATAAAGGTGCAAACAATTAAGTGCATCCACAGCTAAGGTTTTCAGTGATCAACTCTTAAAATTAAAAGGAGAAAATCAAAGACCATAAATGTTTTCAAAATTTACAAAGCCAGTGCTTTTATATTATTCTACACGGGAAGGTTTTGTTCTTTTATCTTAAATTTGAACTGCAGATATTTTCAAAATAGTTTGTATAAGAAAAAAAACTTGTTTTGTCTCTAAGTATGACGTACATCTATATTATTAACAGATTATCGTTTTACTTGTGTTCTTGATTTGCTATTTTTTCTGTTCTTTATTTTCGAAAATTTAAATGTATATCAATCAAAAAAGTTGTGCATATCGTAATAATAAGAATGAACTTTAAGGAAAAAACAATTTACACTTTAATATAAAATAGAAAGAAATATAGACGCTAATGTCAAGATGTCATCAAGACAGGACATATGCCAGGGACCAGACTAATTTCTATAGACAATTTATTTATAACTTTTTTGTTTGTAAACTTTGTTCTTTGTGTTTTAGTCTGTTTGACAGTTGCCCTTAGCTTCGAATGTTTGTTACCAAAATTCAATATTTATGCACCAATGTCTGTCCTTCTATATATGTCCACAGAAAATCGTCCCGTGAATACTTTGAATAATTAACCTTTACCATCGAAAGCATCGTCCGTGTTCATGGTATACACTTCATAAGATAAGAATGCTGATATTGATAACTTAGTAATCTAGATTTCGGACGAGAATTTCGTTACAAAATGGAGGATATATCTTTGTTCTTGTTCATAGTAGTCACAGCAACTTCAGGTTTGTGTATTTCATATCATACCTTAACCAAATCTTTATTTCTCTTAAAGATAAATAACAAAACGACAAACTTCACTGATAAATTACTTACCACAATATAAGGTTTAAATTTGATAACGTACGTAATACACATTTTACATAAAAGATTTAATCGATTCGGGACATCAATTTGCGCTTGATTAAAATACATAAGCTTGCTCCTTACTTTTGATGACATTTGCACTTTTTCTAAGAGTCTTTTACAAGCTTTTGTGTTTAATTATCCCCCTTTTCCTATCTTATCCAGACTTGGTACCGGCAGGTATTACCTGGCGCAGTTACAGTCACATGGTTAAATCTCATTTAATATCCAAACCACTGCACATTTATATATTATTATTAGTTATTCACAAATAAAAGATAAAGTTCTAAAATCATCAAAGGTAAGTTTTGGCTTATGCCTTTAGCTCGAGGAATGAACAAGTTTGGCTCAAGTTAATATCTGTCCTAAATAATATTTATCCCAAATCTCAAATAAATATTCCAACTTCTCTCTTTCAGTTTTGAACTTATACACACCAGGTATCCCGATCCCAAACCACGGAGTGATCTGAATCCCGAGAAGAAATAATTTAAAATCTGTAAAGGCAATTTAAATCTGGATCTGATTCCCACGGAAGAATTCTACTCCGATGGAATCAGATCCAGATTTTACTTTCCCAACGTTACAAACCTTTCATTAATTGCTCGTCGGGTATCAGATCCCACCGCGGATTCCAAGAGGGACCGGGATACTATCAGATCCCTCCGCGGTTTCGGGCACGGATACCCGGTGTGTTATAGGTGTCGATTCATCTATATATCTAATTTGATATATTGATATATTTTCAAAATAGTTTGTATAAGAAAAAAAACTTGTTTTGTCTCTAAGTATGACGTACATGTATATTACTAACAGATTATCGTTTTACTTGTGTTCTTGATTTGCTATTTTTTCTGTTCTTTATTTTCGAAAATTTAAATGTATTTCTAACAAAAAAGTTGTGCATATCGTAATAATAAGAATGAACTTTAAGGAAAAAACAATTTACACTTTAATATAAAATAGAAAGAATATAGACGCGAATGTCAAGATGTCATCAAGACAGGACATATGCCAGGGACCAGACTAATTTCTATAATAGACAAATTATTTATAACTTTTTTGTTTGTAAACTTTGTTCTTTGGGTTTTAGTCTGTTTGACAGTTGCCCTTAGCTTCGTATGTTTGTTACCAAAATTCAGTATTTGTGCACCAATGTCTGTCCTTCTATATATGTCCACAGAAAATCGTCCCGTGAATACTTTGAATAATTAACCTTTACCATCGAGAGCATCGTCCGTGTTCATGGTATACACTTCATAAGATAAGAATACTGATATTGATAGCTTAGTAATTTAGATTTCGGACAAGAATTTCGTTACAAAATGGAGGATATATCTTTGTTCTTGTTCATATTAGTCACAGCAACTTCAGGTTTGTGTATTTCATATCATACCTTAACAAAATCTTTATTTCTCTTAAAGATAAATAACAAAGCGACAAACTTCACTGATAAATTACTTACCACAATATAAGGTTTAAATTTGATAACGTACGTAATACACATACCATTTTATATTTTACGTAAAAGATTTAATCGATTCGGGACATCAATTTGCGCTTGCTTATAATACATAAGCTTGCGCCCTTACTTTTGATGACATTTGCACTTTTTCTAAGAGTCTTTTACAAGCTTTTGTGTTTAATTATCCCCCTTTTCCTATCTTATCCAGACTTGGCACCGGCAGGTATTACCTGGTGCAGTTACAGTCATATGGTTAAATCTCATTTAATATCCAAACCACTGCAAATTTATATAGTTATTCACAAATAAAAGATAAAGTTCTAAAATCATCAAAGGTAAGTTTTGGCTTATACCTGTAGGTCGAAGAATGAACAAGTTTGGCTCAAGTTAATATCTGTTCTAACTAATATTTATCCCAAATCTCAAATATTCCAACTTCTCTCATTCAATTCTGAACTTATACACACCAGGTATCCCGATCCGAAACCGCGGAGTGATCTGAATCCCGAGAAGAAATAATGAAAAATCTGTACCAAAGGCAATTTAAATCTGGATCTGATTCCCGCGGAAGAATTCTACTCCGTTGCAATCGGATCCAGATTTTACTTCCCCAACGTTACAAACCTTTCATTAATTGCTCGTCGGGTATCAGATCCCTCCGCGGATTCGGACCGGGATACTATCAGATCCCTCCGCGGTTTCGGGTCCGGTTACCCGGGTGTTATAGGTGTCGATTCATTAATATATCTATCTAATTTGATATACTTACCAAAAAGTACTTGTTTTTACTCGACTTAAATTTAAAAAAATAGGCTAATAACTTAGGAACGTTTTGAATACTAAGATGAAGTTCATTGAAAACCTTAAATTTAGGGAAAAAAACCCAAAATGAATCACCAAAAGTAAGTCTTAGAGTTCAAATTTCAGTAAAAAATAGATAAAAGAAAAAACTTATCACACCCTGTCTTTTGTGGTACGCTTAAAAATGACAATAGAATTGAGAATGGAAAAGGAGAACGAGTCAAAGAGACAACAACTCTACCAAATAGCAGAAAGCAGCCCAAGGCCACCAATGGGTCTTCAAAACAGCGTGATAATCCCGCAACCGGAGGTGGATTTCAGCTTGCCCCTAAACAATAATGTATACCAGTTCAGCAAAAATGGACGTAACACTAAACTCCAAAACATATAAATGAACCAAAATTTAAAAAAAAACATACAAGACTTACAAAGGCCAGAGGTTCCTGACTTGGAACAGGCAGGGTTAACCATGTTTTGTGACATCTTAACCCTCCCCCTATATCTCTAGCCAGTGTGGAATAAACAAACGCAAGGCAATACGCACAGTAAAACTCAGTTTAAAAGAAGTCCGAGTCCGATATTAGAATAGGTAATAGAAG